CTAAGGGTCGATGGTCAGATTTCAACGTAAAGTGAGTGCCGTAAACATATGGTCGAAACTGCTTGATTTCAAAATATATAGCCAAAAGTTCAAGTTCAATAATCGGTTTATTTTGCTCACCTTTATTGAAAGATTTAGAAGCTAAACATATTGGTAAGTCATTTCCGTCATGGTTTTGGCCTAATAAGCACCACACCCACTTTCGGGGCATCGACTGTAATAATAAATTGTTTTGTGAAGTCTGGGTATTGTAGCAATTTTGGGGAAATTAACGCTGACTTTAAAGATTCAAAAACTTTGTCGCACGCCCTGCCCCAAATAAACTCAACCTTTTTTCTGCCTAATTGATTTAAAGACGCTGCCGGAGTCGCAAAATTTGGTATAAACCGCCTGTTATAATTATCAAACGCGACGAAACGTCGAACCGCATCCTTGTCAGTCGGTTTTGTATATTTTTTAACAGCGTTTATTTTGGTGTCGTCTGGCAACAGACCTTTGGCTGAACATTTATGGCCTAAGAATTTAACTTCCGGCCGAAGAAAATTGCATTTATTCGGGTTAAGTTTTAGGTTGAAACTTTTGCTAAATTTTTAATGTGATGTGCTTCGCTACAGCCTATGACAATAATGTCATCTACGTATAAAAATGCTACGTTTGGTGGAATACCAGAAAAAGCTATACTCATCATTCGCGAAAATGAGTTGGGTGCTATAATTAAACCGAATGGCAATACTTTCCATCGATATGCTCCACGGTCTGTGCTAAAAGAAGTTATATCACATGAATCCTCATGTAAGGGGATTTGGTGAAATCCAGAAAAAAGATCCAAAGTTGACAAATATTTAGGTCTGCCAAGATTGTCTAAAATATCGTCAACTCGTGTGAGAGGGAATTTATCCGCAATAAGTTTTTGTTGACTGCGCGGAAATCTACGCACATACCATATGCTTTTTGACCTTTAGTAGACTTTTTAGGAACCAAAATTAACTTAACTTCAATTAAATCGTTATCTAGTAATTTATCACTTCACGTTGGGAATATGGTAGACGATAGCTTTTTACATATGTATACCGGGTCAGTTTCAGACAACCTAAGTTTCTGTTCATAAAAATTGCTTAATGTCATTTTGTCATTGTCCAGAACGAAAAGGTTGGCACATTTTATGCAAAGGTCAAGTAAATTGCTGTTAGCTTCTGCAGGGATTTAATTTTTCAAAATATTTGTTGATTCGTTCGTTCGTGAGTCTTCTGTCTTGGTCTTATTAATTGAGTAAACGTGAAAGTCAGAAAGTTTTTCAGTCCGAATATTTACATTATTTACATGTTTCACGTCATCAGTGGTATTTATGATTTTGATAATTCGGTTACGGCTATTAACTATGCACCTTGCTGTGAATACACCGCGTTCAATTTCTTGCGATTCTACAAAAAGCGGATCTGGCGAGTGGCCTAAATCTCTGACCCCCCGTATCGCGACCAGCCTCCCAAGGCACATGAACTTACTCCAACTCAACTGCAACGGACTTCAGAGCAAGATTGAGGAGATAGCAGTCTTCATGGGTCGGCACGGCATATTGATAGCTGCGGTCCAAGAAACGAAGTTGCACAGCAACTCAACTCTGTTGGGTTGCGCCGCCTACAATGTGCTCCGTAAAGATCGCGAGCGAGATAATGGTGGTGGACTAGCGTTCATTCTACACCACACAGTGCAGTATCGGCTAATCGAAGAAGACATCGACCCAAGGGACACTACCCTAGAATGTCAGGGCATAGCTGTCCGGTCAGGCGATGTCGAGCTCGAAATATTTAACGTGTACATACCCCCTGTCACCTGCTGCCCGGCTGGATATCTCCCTGACATAGGTGCGCTACTCAGAGGCGAAAACCGATTGGTAGTAGGTGACTTCAATGCGCACCACGATCTTTGGCACTCAAGCCTGGCCAATGATCGGAGGGGAAACAGTTTGGCTGAGCAGATAGACGATTCGACATTCTGCACCATGAACGACGACGCCCCCACCAGGATTGTGGGCAGCTGCAGCAGCTTGCCAGACCTAACAATTGCTAGCGCTGGTCTGATAAATAGCATATCATGGCGACCTATGCTAACGTTAGCATCAGACCATCTGCCCATAATCACCTCGATCAATAAGCCCACCGACTTTGCTCCCGCGGATCACCGAACCTACACCAACTTCAACAAAGCTGATTGGAACGGCTTCACGGAAGTTACCGAGAGCAGTTTCGCCGCCCTCCCCACACCCACAGACGTACATGCTGGCGAACGGCAGTTCCGCAAGGTAGTCACAGCCGCAGCAGCTCGCTTCATACCGTCCGGACGCATCGCGGAAGTCCGCCCAAATTTCCCGGCTGAAGCAGCTGTACTAGCAAATGAGCGTGACCACCTACGCCAGGTCGACCCCGGGGACCCTCTCTTGAGGGAACTTAATTTGGAGATTCGGCAACTGGTAAATCAACACAAGCGGACAAAGTGGGAAGAGCACTTGAAGGCCTGTAACTTCACCTCTGGTGTGAGTAAGCTCTGGTCAACCGTGAGGTCCTTGTCCAACCCGACGAATCGTGATGACAGAGTGGAAATTTCATTCGAAGGTCACGCCTCATCGGACCCGAAGAAATGCGCGAACTATTTCAGTCGGCAATTCACACTGCATCCTTCGGTAGACAAGGCCAAACGTCGAGTGACCAGGAGGCTGCACAAACTGCCCAAAAACGATGCACCACTTGTTTTCACCAGCGGTGAAGTAAATGGGGCCATCGGGAAGGCGAAAGCCTCCAAAGCCATTGGACCCGACGGAATCTGTATGCTGATGTTGAAACATTTGGGGCCTGTGGGGGTAGCATACCTCACGGAGGTCCTCAATTTGTCTATGACCACTCTCATCATTCCTGATGTGTGGAAAACAGGGAGAGTGGTCCCACTGCTGAAACCGGGGAAGCCCGCCAACAGAGGAGACTCTTATCGCCCGATAACGCTCCTTTCCCCGGTCGCGAAGACACTTGAGGCCCTGCTGCTCCCATACTTCACCTGCCACCTAACCCCAGCGAAACATCAGCATGGCTTCCGTAAAGTGCACAGCACAACAACAGCACTTAACGCCATAAACACCCAGATAATCCGCGGCCTAAATCGAAACCGCCCCTGTGAGAGAACTGTCCTAGTAGCGCTGGACTTGTCAAAGGCGTTTGACACCGTCTGCCATTCCACACTGCTAGAAGACATTGAAGCCTCCTCTCTCCCACAGGGACTGAAGCGATGGTCGGCGAATTATATGAGTGGTCGGCAATCATCAGTAATCTTCAGAGATCAAACCTCGAAACCTAGAAGAATAAAACAAGGGGTTCCACAAGGTGGTGTTCTCTCCCCCTTACTTTTTAACTTATATATCTCGAAACTCCCCCAGCCACCTGAAGGAGTTTCCCTGATCTCGTACGCTGATGACTGTTCGTCTGGGAATGGAATTGATGACCTCTGCTCAAAAGTAAACGGCTATCTCTCCAGCCTTTCTCGCTTCTTCACTGCAAGGAGCCTAACCCTCTCCCCAACGAAATCAACGGCGACCCTCTTCACCACCTGGACGAAGGAGGTCAGGCTTGAATTAGGCATTCACGTCGACGGCACACCAATACCGACGGTGAACAACCCGAAAATTTTAGGGGTTACCTTTGATAGCCTGCTCTCTTTCTCCGCGCACACAACCGCAGTTGTCAACAAAGTACAGAGCCGCAACAAGGTCCTCAAGTCGATCGCCGGCAGCACTTGGGGCAAAGACAAAGAAACGTTGTTGGCAACATACAAGGCAATTGGCCGGCCGGTTCTAAATTATGCTGCGCCAGTTTGGACGCCGGGGACTAGGTGGACGCAGTGGACGAAGCTACAGACTTGTCAGAACGCCGCACTCCGGACAGCGACTGGGTGCCTTCTGATGACGCCTGAGCATCACCTACACAGTGAGGCCCAAGTGCTCCCCGTAAGGGAACACAACAAGATGCTCTGTAAGCAGTTTCTTGTGGGGTGTCACAGAAGTGAACACCCCAACAGACCACTGCTGGAGGAGGAGCCTCCGCCCAGGCACGTCAGGGGGCACCTATTCATGTACAAGGACGCAGTCCAGACCTACACAGACCAACCACTGGACCCAATGACGTACAGACGAGCGATTAACGACATTCATAGGGAGTCTGTCTCCACCTACCTCGACTCCCGGCTTAGGAATGTCGTTATCGGAGCCCAATCACCACCTGTGGAAGAGACGGAGCTTCAGTTACCTAGAGAGACCCGCGTTACCCTGGCTCAGTTACGGTCTGGATATTGTAGCCGCCTAAACAGCTACCTGTCCAGACTCGACCCAAATATCCCAAATGAGTGCCCGGCATGTGGAGACTCCCCCCACGACACCAACCACCTCTTCACATGCCAGCTCAATCCGACTCAACTAACACCTCACTCCCTTTGGTCCGACCCCATCGAAACAGCTCGTTTCCTGGGCCTACCGTTAGTTGAGCTTAACGATAATGATTAAAAGTTGACCCGAAACAGGCGGGGCTTAGTAGTGCCGCTACAACAACAACAACAACAGTGGCCTAAATCGAAAATTCGATAAGCTTCGTATCTGGGTGGTATGATGCAAGTGTCGCTTACGATTCCGTGTAAAATCATTACCCAATATATCGTCAGCTGGTATGTTAAGGTCATCGTTTACTACATGTAAAGTATGTTTAATGCAAAAATCAGTAAAATTCAAGTTTACGGTAATCGTACCTAAAGTGGAAACAGTTTTGGAAGTGACACCGGTAATGTTAATTATATCTTTCCTATTTATAGAAAAATGTTTATCAATGCTCGAATTTTTATTAGAGAAATGTCGGCTTGCGTGTCGACTAAAAACGTACAAAATTTGTTTGATCCATTAATTTTCAATTCGATAAAGTCAGAGTAGTTCAAATTAAAGCAATAAATTCCCTTTGTCGAAAAATATTTATTTAATTGTCCCATTCCTCCGCCCTCAGTGTTCGCTCCTGAGGGGCGTGGGCGTTTAAAGTACGCACATTATTATTATTGCGTGAATTTGGACGTCTATTACTATTAATGTTGCTGTTATTGTTCCGGTTGCTGTTATTCGATGACCGATTGCTATTATTATTGAAATTATTGCCGTTATGCCTTGCGCCGTTATTGTTGTACCTACTGTTATTACCGTTATTAGTGTACCTACTGAAATTAGTATTGTCATGTCTGAAATTATTACTGTTTTACCTATTAAAATTGTGACCTTTGAAGCTACTTCTAAAACTATTTGGCCTATTTACTCGGGATCGAAACGCTAACACTTGGCGCTCTTTCACTTGATTATTTTGTTCGACTATCATTTTTGCCACTACGTCTTTTGAATCACTGAAGGTAGTTGACGATAAAATTGATTTGACCAAATCCGACCGAGTATTAAGTCTACAAACGTTAACTGTTTGCTCGACTGCCATTTCATGGGCCTTAGATTGTGTCATACCTTCAATGATCAAAGAACGCTCAAATGCATCCGAAAGCTCCTCGACACGCTTAGCAAATTCCGTATAATTGTTGTTTATGACCTGTAAAGATGCATTTTTCCCTAATTGTGCCGAAGCTTCTGACTTGGCGTCACTAAACTCTTCTTCTGACTCAGAGTCAGTTAAATCTGATTCGCAAATGAGCGATAAGCTATCAGATGGAATCCTAACGCGGCAATTCAATTTAGTAAAGCACTTTGCTAACTGTTAATTGCAACGGGCTAACTTACCCTGCTCTTCCTTGAGATTACAGGTATGGGCCAATTTGCCAATAACTAGTAGTAAAATATTATTGCAAGCTGTGATAAGCGCATATTTATACTTGTTTAATTTTTTCGCACTCATAGACAACGGTCTATTTTATAAAATGCGCTTAATAATCTTATCAAAATCTGATTTATATGCTTTAAATTGTATATCGAATTCGCTCATACCCGGCTAATCTCAAAGAAGTGGAAGTTCAAAATTTACGAAAACAAGCGTCGTTTACCTTGTTCAAATAAAAATATTAAAAAATCGAATTGTGAAAAATAATTATGCTTTTCTTCAGTAGGTCATCGGCTGCAAATTTGGCATGAAATTAAAGGGGCTTTTTGATGCAGTGGGATTTTACATGCAAAAGGAGTGGGGCTGTTGCTTTCTTTTTCGTTCCGCGCAATTCAAAAGAGCTTATATTGTTTTGTTATTTTTTGTTTTAATATAAACGTTTTTTTTTTTTTAAAGTATCAAGGTGTAATATAAAAATGTGATTGTAAATATTAGCAGAAGTACAAAATGTATGTAGAAAATTATCAAAATGTAGTTTCAAAATATCCAAATGTACATAGTTATTAATTATTAATACCAAGAAGTCACATATGTATTAAATCAAAATGAGTCAATTACTCAGAGTCAAAAGTGAGTCACGTAGTGAGCCACTCACTCGTATGTATGTATGCATAAAATGGAACTCAATCTTTTGGAAAAACTTTTTTAAATTTGTACGCGAACATATTAAAAAGTACATAAATTGTAGAAAAATTCCGCAAAAGATCAAAAGTTTTTAAATTTGTACGCAAACGTATCTGCACAAATTTGAAGGGAATTGTAGTAGATTTGCAATATATTGACATGAATTTGTGTAGTTGCGTACATATGCGAAAATGCAATGAAGGGCATTTATGTACATACGATTAAATGAGTATACAGTATATTTTGCTTTGCTGCCTTTGTGCTTAAGTGCACATTTAAGATACCTACCCCAAAATGCGCATCAGCGGCATTATTTTTAACATTTATAAGGAAACTGCTCCGATACTTGCATTCAACATACCTGCACGTTAGCGATACCTGCCTTAAAAATTTGCAACTATTATCAATTATCAAAGAAAGTATTACGTTTACCTGCACTGGCTCTACACTTACCCTAATTTTAAAAGCTATTATTTATTTTGCTCATCTCGCAGAACAACGAAAACGGCAATTATTTTATGTAGTTATATAGATAATTAGATACCATTCGGGAAAAATTTCTCTTGCAGTAATTTCTACGTGGTAAGTGCTCCTCCATTATTTGGTTGCATAGGGATTCGGATACCTTCCTCATTGTAGTAAAGAAAATTCGCTTAAGTGCTTTTTTTCGGTTAAGCGCACAAGTTTTTCGTGCAAAGAAGGATGGGCAGCTAAGCAAAATGTACTGTATATGTATATTCATTCAACGGGATATAAATATGTTCATACGTATGTTCATAAATGAACAATAAGAAAATAATGTGACGAATACTGCGGCAACGCGAAGCGAACAACGAGAAATAGGCAGAATGTTCGAGGAATGACGTAGAATATTCCACAAAGAGAAACGTCAAGTTGGATGAACACTGCGAACAGCGAGAGAAAGAGAATGAGCGATAAACTTCAGAATGTTCTAGAGTTGCCATAAGTGCCAGCGCAGGTATATAAGGGCGCCGCCACAGCGAGGTTAGTTAGTTACAAGACAGCAAGCTACAAGTAATGTGAGCAGAGAAGCGAGTTGCGAATAAGAAAGATATAAGTTTAATTGTGTTACCAAGTTTAGTTAAGCGCTGTTATTGCTTTAACAAGTATTGTAAAGTGTTTTTACTGTATTAGCGAGTATTGTAAATTGTTTGTTGTACAATAAAGTTAATTGTACTACCATTTGGTCATCGATTGCATTTATTTAACAATCCAGCGATACGAACCGAGAGATTTGGGAAATCCGGACGAGGTTTAAAGGATAATCGTAACAATTGGTGTCAGAAGTGGGATTGTTAAATAAATCCCGAAGGAGAAACTACTAAAAATGGCGAAAATTCAGGACTTAAAAATTGAGGAGCTGAAACAGGATTTGGAAAAGCGTAATTTGGCCACCTCCGGAAAAAAAGTGGACGATACATCCGTAAAGGACGAACAGAAGAATGAGGCTGCATGTTCGTCGAAGGATGTGCAACAGACATCCGGGAAGGTTGAAGAACAGCAAAAGGCTCCTTCATAATCAACAGTTATGGACATGAACAAGTTATTGGCTGCCATGTCACAGATGATGCAAGCAAAGGATACACGCTTGTCAGAGATGTCATCACAGCTGTCAACTCAGATGCAAACACAGTCTTCAGATGTTTCATCGCAGATACAAGCGCTGGAGACACGTATATCAGCACCGGTATCAGCACAGATGTCACCCCAACTGGAAGCACAGGATGCAAAGATTGTACAAATACAGGAAAAAATCGAAGATAGACAGGACAAAGTCGAGGCTAAGATGGGCGAGTTAGAAGGTCGACTCCGAGACTTGCAGTTGAATCATCCAGCCGCTTCGACGAACGCTCCCAAGGTAAAAACTCCATCCTTTGACGGCACGACCCCTTTCCAGGTCTTTAAGCTGCAGTTCGAGAAGACAGCTACAGCAAATCGTTGGAGCATGGAGGATAAATCCGCTGCTCTGTTCGTGGCATTAAAAGGACCTGCAGCGGAAATCTTGCAGACAATTCCTGACTGTGAAAGGAACAATTACGATGCATTAATGGGTGCAGTGGAAAGACGTTATGGTAGCGAGCACAGGAGACAGATTTACCAGATGGAGCTGGAGAATCGCTGCCAGAAATCCAACGAGACTCTACAGGAATTCGCCTCCGAGGTTGAAAGGTTGGCTCATTGGCAATTGGAGATGCATCTGGTGAGCACCTCGAAAGAGTAAAAATCCAGAGGTTCATCAACGGAATGCGGGACGTGTATACCAAGCGCGAGACGTATGCAAATCCAAAGCCAACATTTGCTGAAACGGTCTCGTATGCTCAGACACGTGAAACGGCGGCGCTCCTAAGTAGACCATCCTACAAAGACCATCGAGTAGAAGTGGAGACACCTGACGTGATGAACGAGATCCTGAAAACACTCAAGTCGATGGCAGAGAAGAATACTCCTGGTGCAACCGAGAGAAAGAATGGTGCTAGGAAATGCTTTAGATGCGGAAAACCAGGCCACTTCGCACGCGAATGTAAGACGGGTTCCAACTGGTCAAACAGTTCGGCAGTACGTAAACGCAGGACTGAGGATGACGAGCCCGACTCCGATCAGTCGTTAAACTAAAACGCGCCAGCAGCAAGGGGCGCATGCTCGCTCTCGCAATTGAATGCCCCATAATCTCCGTCTCGAGAATTGGCAGAAAAGCGAGCAACGTTACTGTTGGTGGATATGTGGACGGACATGAGCGAGTACTAACTGTGGATACGGGCGCATCACATTCCATCATTCTATCTGATTTGGTCACTAAAGAGGTAAGGCCATTACCTGGAGCAAGGTTGAGGACAGCAACTGGTGAGGACACCCAAGTTGTAGGAGAGGTAACATGCAAAGTCGCAATAGGGAATGTGACGGTGTTACACAAGTTCATAGTCGCGGCGATTATGGATGAAATCATCATTGGATTAGACTTTTTATTTGGTCAGGGTAGGAAGATCGACATGAAGAACAGGATCAAGAAGTACGACAACATGGAAGTGCCCCTTAGGTTTGGGTATGATGGTCCGTACAGCAGCAAGCGAGTGATCCTAGAGGAAAACGAGCAGATTCCACCGAAGTCAGAAGCAGTTGTGTGGGCAAAGATTGATGGAGATTGTGAGACAAACAAATTGTGGGTTGTTGAAGCAACACAAAATTCTACACCGGACGTACTTATTGGTAAAACCCTGGCTAAGACGCAAAAGGATGGACGCATCCCAGTTCGAGTGCTCAATGAGTTCAAATCACCAGTCCAACTCCGAAGAGGAACTGTAATGGGGCAATGTCGAGAGGTAGAGGCAATCTTCAACTGCGAAAAATTACCTGAAAGCGAGTCCATTGGCGAGAATGACATTGCGGAAGACATTAATGCATGGACGGAAAGGTTGGAAGAAAAATACCAGCACAAGGCTAAGGAACATCTTCGAAGATACTCCAACATATTCGACAAGGATGGCGACAAACCAGGCAGGACTAACGTCGTGAAACATCGCATTGATACTGGCGATGCAAGGCCAATCCGTCAAGCTCCTAGGAGTGTTCCACTTGCCAAACGTGAAACTGTTAGCCAAATAATAAAAGAAATGAGCGATAGTGGTGTGATTGAACCATCAGCGAGTCCATGGAGTTCGCCGGTAGTACTTGTGAAGAAGAAGGATGGTCAAATGCGGTTCTGCGTAGACTACCGGAAACTAAACGATGTGACGAAAAAGGACAGCTATCCTCTTCCCAGGATCGATGAAACCCTGGACTCGTTGACTGGAACAAAGTGGTTCTCAACACTCGACCTTAAGAGCGGCTATTGGCAAGTGGAGGTAAGCGACGAGGATAAGGAGAAGACAGCTTTCAGCGTTGGAGACGGTCTGTGGCAATTCACGGTGATGCCCTTTGGATTATGCAACACTCCTGCCACTTTTGAACGACTTATGGACCATATGCTCAAAGGACTGCATTGGAAAACATGTTTAGTGTATCTAGACGACATTATCGCATTGGGTAAAAGCTTTGAGGAACACCTGAACAATTTGGAAGAAGTTTTCCAGAGGATAGCTGGCGCTGGTCTGAAGCTAAGTCCTAAAAAGTGCTCACTGTTCAGGAAGGAGGTGAACTACTTAGGGCACAAGGTGACAACGGAGGGCGTCTGTACTGCGAAGGAAAAGATAGAAGCAGTAAAGGATTGGCCAAGACCTAGGAACCTGCACGAACTACGGAGTTTTCTTGGGCTATGCACCTACTACCGCCGATTTGTTCCGAATTTCGCCAGCGTCGCTAATAGCCTCCACGAGCTCACTAGGAAAAGTAGAACCTTCGAGTGGAACAAGGAGCAGGAGGAGGCTTTCCACACTCTG